ACAGCTTTGTATGTATGGGTTACTCGGGTTGTTACAGACAACCCGAGTCGTATATATATCATATACGTCCATCATTTTGACAGATTACTCTGAGGGTGATCTATTGTAATTTATAACTGTAATTCCCACCCCTGTCCAGTTGGTGGCGAGTGCGCTTCAGTGTGGCAGCAGAACGCAGGCTCATCAGCTCCAGAATAAAAATAAAACTGTCACCAGTCTTTTGCTATGCCTTTGACTACGCACAGGCGAGTATCCACTAGTAAAGCGAAAGAGATTCAATTCAAGTTTATTTGTATAGTGCTTTTCACAATACAAATCGTTGCAAAGCAGCTATACAGAAAATTAAGTTCCCCTTCATGGGAACTTCGAACTGCGTCCTCTAGGGGTCGCTATGGGGAACGCCTCGTCGTGACCCGTGTCTGAAGCATACATTTTTTTTTTGCAAGAAAGAGCACAATTGACCTTTTTCTAAAATTTTAGACAAATGGAAGATTTGAAATGGGTCTGTAATTTGCCAGTTCATTAGGATCTAGTTGTGGTTTCTTAATTAGAGGCTTAATAACCTCCAGCAGATGATCAGTTTACGCTGCCGCTTCGCTTGATCTGAGGCGGCTACAGCGATCTATCACGCCACAGTAAAGAACATCAAAGCAGTATTTATTGCTTAAATTTCCTAATATAATAGACATAATTTGACTTTATTTCATATCAAAAGTAACAACAAAGCTTAGCCTATTGTGATTTATTGGATGGTAGGCACACTATATGTACGGTTCATTCATCAACTGAAAACAGAATCGATTGGGATTTAAGAATCGATATTGGTTCATAAAAATGAGAATCTATTAAAATAGAGAAACTGTTTTTTTGTTTTATCCAGCCCTAGCATATTTTGTTGTTTTTAGTGGCCTCTGCTGTCATTGTGTAGGGTGTGATGTTGAATGTGAAAAGTGACACACAATCTCTGTTCATCTCTTCTCTTGATAAATAAATAAATGCATAAGCCTATATGCTCGTCCTGTATTATTAAAAATGAAATACAAGCAATTAAATATGTTATTATAGTTAAAATATGAAAAAGTTAAAATTACGGGTAATAAAAGATTGACGGAATTTTTACGACCCTGTCCGTCAAAATGATGGACAATGTTAAAGTCTAACACAACCTCTGTATATATTATAATATATAATAATAATACTCTCAACTATAGTTATCTTTTTGCACTGACTCAGTGAAGTTGCATTTATGTAGAACATTAAGTATGTTCAACTTGAAGTTTAGTTGGAAAAAAAATATTAAAGTGAGGTAATTATTTTTTTGTTTGTTTACTTAACTGAACTTTTTGAGGTAGTTTCCACTGATTACTTAGAATATTAAGCATTTTCAACTTGAAAAATGTGGTTATTTGAGCTTACAAAATTTAGTAGGCATAACTTTATTAAAGTAAGGTGAACTTAAGTTTTCAATGCAAAAGTGTCAACCTTCATATGCCAAAATCTATTTCAAAATATATTATAGGATCAAGAAAATATATTTCCAATCTTACAGTAGGCTAAAATGCAAATCTAAATGCAAATGTGGATGGAATAGCCTACTAGAGTACAAAACTAAATTTGTAGTGATTTAATAATGTTTATTGTTTTGTTTTTTACATTGTAAAGTATGTTCCTTACTGATTGTTGATTTCTTGGCCTAATGGTTAGAAAGTCAGACTTGTAACCTCAAAGTTGTGGGTTCGAGTCTTGGTACATCATGATCATTACTGATGGTGAAGTCAATTAATTCATATACTATTATACTGATTTGTATGATTGAATATTGATTTAAAAGTAAGCTTACGATAGGCATAATCGTAAGATTGACCCCTAAACCTAACCTTTAGTGGGATATCATATGAAATCATTGCAATGAGATCATATTGATTCCTACAAATTTACCAAAATGTAAAATAATGACGTATTGCTGTGAGACTGTGTTGGTGCTGACGACTTTTAACCGTCCACACACAGAAAAAAATGAAATCATGAATATAATCACTAATGTCTGATGGAAACCGGACCCTTCAGAGTTTGTTAGCTTAATCACTTTATTGTTCAATAATAATTTGTAGATAATTAGCACAGCTTGATTAAACTGAAGCTGTTTGCTCTCAGCTGTGTTTTACTGCACATTAAATCCTTCCCTAATTCCTCGCTTTTCCTGCATCTGATGCCCTGAAACCCGAGGCAGAGCTGTGTGTGTGTGTGTGTGTGTTCTTAAAGACGTTTACCTTCGCTGCTTATCCAATCTGCTTATTCAAACATCATTATCACTGTTAATATCTGGTTTGCACAGCAGTGATGGCCGGATCTCGTCCGTTTACAGCCGTTCAGTTTGGATTTCTTTCTCTGTTTGTATATAAAATGAAGAGATCCAGCAGCAAATAAAGCTTCAAATCAGACGACACGCCAACATCACAAACCAAAATAAGATCAAATATATAGGCTATTCCATTTTTTCTATTGAAGCAACTGGAGGATTTATGTTATTTTTAATATTCTGAATCTTTTATACAGGGTGGGTAATATTTTTGTAAGTTCAGTTGTTATTTTGTCTTGTGGACTGTATGTAAATATCTGCTATGTGAAAAAAAAACTTGTTTAGGGCAGCACAAATTAAAAAAAATAACAAGCAATTTTTATGATCCTCTTGTTTTATTAAAATTATTCTGTAATGTGTATGTGAACAAAGTTACAGATTCTCCACTTCTCCTGAAATATTTCCATGCATTGTGCTTGATTTTTTGTTTTTTTCCAGCATGTATATATGTACAGTATGTACAGGTTTGATTAGTATTATGGGGCCAGAATTGCCATCTCAGTGCAGTAAAACATCATAACAGCGTCTGATGTTTATAGATATTTGAAATGAAATGTAAAAGCTCAATCATCCAGAAACTGAACCCAGAGATGTTTTGATACAGAGGGTTTCATTTGCCTTAAACCCTTAATCTTGATGCCGCTATTGATGTAGATCAGTTTTAAGAGGACAGTCACACACACACTCACACTCACACACACACCCTCTCACACACACACACACACACACACTCTCTCTCACACACACACGCTTTTCCTGCATCTGATGCCCTGAAACCCGAGGCAGAGCTGTGTGTGTGTGTGTGTGTGTTCTTAAAGACGTTTACCTTCGCTGCTTATCCAATCTGCTTATTCAAACATCATTATCACTGTTAATATCTGGTTTGCACAGCAGTGATGGCCGGATCTCGTCCGTTTACAGCCGTTCAGTTTGGATTTCTCTGACTGTTTGGTCAATGTTCTTCTCTGAAACTGTGTTTCTCTTTCCCGCTGGCTGAAGATCTCTGGAAGCACTGAGGCAGAAGAAACACACACACACACACGTTTGGCTGTTATTATGTTGGGTCTTCTGTTGTTTTATCTTGAGCTAATGATATTCTCTAAACCCTCTCACACACGCTGCATTTTTAAGTGTTCATTAGGAGGCTGTTTAGTACGTTTATGATGCTGGTTTTCTCATGGGGACCGTAGGCTTCATCTCATAATGTAGCTAATCTCAGGTTTTACTATCATTGTGAAGACGTTTGGTCATCAGAGGTAAATCTAACACACACACACACAGACACTCTCACACACACACAGACACTCAGACACACACACACACACGCTCACATGCTCAGACACTCACACACACACACACACACACTCAGGAAACATATGGATGAATCCAGCTCGCAGCTAAAGGTGTTTGTCTGCCAAAGCTTTGAGAGCATCTCTGGAGCTCCTCCAGCTCCTCTGGAACATCACAGCGCTTCATTTGTTTACTGGAAGCGTCGCAGCAGAACGCGTTAAAACAGCCGTGATTTGTAACGCCCGCCCAGCACAAACATGTGACTCGGCCTGCTCGCCTTGTGATTGAGAAACGCCGCAGCGCCGTGACTTTCTAATTTATTCAGCCACTTTCTACGGAAGCCATTTTCCCCAGCAGAGAGAGGCCGAGCGTAATTATCCTAATTAGTGCTAATTCAACATGGCTGAGCCCATTTTTGTAACGAGCCCCTCATCCAGAGCTCAGAGGAGGAGGCTCGACGGTCGCCGCTATCCAGTCAGAAACGTGCCTCCATTAATCCTAAATTTACACGTTTTGAGGTTTGACGGTCACATTTTGTGTTCCTCCAAGCATATAATCAACATTTCTAATGAAAAATAATAATGTTACGGCACAATTATCCTAAAATGTCAGAGTCGCTTTTCAGTATGACTGCTGCCAAATTAAATTCAAATGAGTTGTCATTATGCACATTTTTATTTCTACAAAATACAGATGAAATATCATAACTATACAGTATATCTGAGTGCTATATCAGTGATTAAAGGAGTAGTTCACTTACAAATCAAGATTGTGTCATTGTTCTCAAACATGAGCGTGTTCGTATGACAACAGATCATTGACCAATAGATGCATTAAACTGATCAAACGTGTCAGTAAAGACATTTATAATGTTACAAAATATTTATATTTCAAATAAATGTTGTTCTTTTGAACTTTCTGTTCATCTGTGAATCCTGAAAAATAAAATGTATCACAGTTTCCACAAAAATATTGTGCAGCACAACTGTGTTCAACATTGATAATAATCAGCAATGTTTCTTGAGCAGCAAATCAGCATATTAGAATGATTTCTGAAGATCATGTGACACTGAAGACTGGAGTAATGATGCTGAAAATCAGCTATTTTACATTCTAATAATATTAGAATCACTTTATCACTTTTTTTTTTTTACTGTATTTTTGATTAGATAATTGCAGAGGACAGTAGAACAGACTTCTTTTAAAACGTATTTAAACATATTTAAAACTTTTGAATGCTAGTGATACATAGTATAGTATAGTATAGATAGATAGATAGATAGACTCACATACGTTTATTCATGACTGATTGTATGTAGTTTATCATGTAAATGTCTCTGTTTTTGTGCAGGTCTCTGGAGGGAAAATGTTCCACTGATTTTCGTTCCTGCAACCTCAAAGTAAGATCAACACACACATTCTCTCTCTCTCTCTCTCTCTCTCTCTCACACACACACACACACACACACACACACACTCACACTCACACACACACACACACACACACACACACACTCACACTCACACACACACACACACACACACACACAC